GTTTTCCTTGCAACTTGGGGGAAGCTGTATGGCAGCAACTCGGTGCTATGAATTTTCGGCGCGTGGCTTTATTGAAACCCTGCCGTTGGGTCGGTCCCCCAGGTGATCTTCATTGGTTCTTTCTTTTTTTTTTTTGTGAAGATGGAAAAAACAATTTTTCAGAAGCAATAGAAGACTCTAGCATCTTCAAATTCTGGAATAGGTTTGATTCAATTTTTAATTCATGAAAAAAATGTTGTGATGCGCATCATACTCAAGAGGGACAAAAATGTTCCTGATTTTTCTCAAAAAATTTTTGAGCCTCGTAATTAGATCACATTACAGATATAAAATGACGAAAAAGTGAATTAAATACGATTGCTGTCTCCCTATATGTACAAACCATCCCTTAGGATCCCTGCAGGTGATCTTCATTGGTTTTTTTTCGTGAAGATGGAAACTTTTTTTTCAGAAGCAATAGAAGACTCTATCATCTTCAAATTCTGGAATAGGTTTGATTCAATTTTTAATTTCTTTAAAAAAGATATACAGTATTTTGAAATTATACCCCGCTCCTGTCCAAAATGTTGTGATGCGCATCATACTCAAAAGTGACAAAAATGTTCCTGATTTTTCTCAAAAAATTTTTGAGCCTCGTAATTAGATCACATTACAGATATAAAATGACGAAAAAGTAAAGTAAATACGATTGCTGTCTCCCTATATGTACAAACCATCCCTTAGGATCCCTGCAGGTGATCTTCATTGGTTTTTTTTTCCGTGAAGATGGAAACTTTTTTTTCAGAAGCAATAGAAGCCTCAATCATCTTCAAATTCTGGAATAGTTTTGATTCAATTTTTAATTTCTGAAAAAGGAATATACTGTTATACCCTGCTTGTGTCCAAAAAGTTTTGATGCGCATCATACTAAATTTAAAAAAAAAGTTCCAGAATTTTCCACAAAAAAATTTAGCGTCATAATTCCCAAAAAATTAATATATAGTATTTAAAATGATACCCAACTTTTTCCACAAAAGGTGTGGTGCACATCATAAGTACGAAATCTTTGAATTTTTTAATTTTGTAAATTTATATTTGGATCATATTCCATATAAAAGCGATAAAACTCAAAGTAATCACAATTTTTGTCCTCTTGAAAGTATTTCAAAATTGTTTTTTGTGATGTAATACTTCTCTGGGCAGGAATTCATTTAATTAAAACACTTCAAGGTAATTTATTTTGTGTCGTTTGCAGAAGATATTTTTAATTTGTATCGCCAATATAAACTCGACCAAGAATTTAATGATCGTTGAAAACTTGAGTTGAAAACATTAAAAACGTTGTTTCAATCCTTAGTTTCACCGTGAGAAATATGCATAAAATTATTTTCCCAAAATTACTTTTCATAAATAACAGAGGAAATTTATCATTGATTCCAGGAACTTTGTATTGCCGGAAAAGGAGAAAAATCTTGATTCAAACTTTTTCCTCATAAGCTGGAAATATATTAATTAATTGGCGATTATTTTTTTCGGAATGACAATTGTGTTAAATATAAATTTTCGTCCGATGAATGCGTCTTGCAAAAATGTATTTTGGCTCCGTGTCATCCGAAATTATACTTATCCTATACCTGGTTTTCTGAGGAAAACAATATCCCTAAAACACAGTCACAGTCCATTTCATGTGATCTGTGTTGCTTATTTACGACATGTGAATGCAACCGGGAATAAATTACTGACATTGAGAACCGTTATTCCACACATTGTATTTTCCTTTATTGAGTATGTTGAAGCGAAGAAATTTGTTCTTGAAAGAAAATGGGGTTTCTTAGAAATGAAAATAAAGAAGGTCATCGTTGGGAACCATTGTAAATACCTTTCTATAGAAGTACTTTTCCGAAAAGGGGTACCTGAAGGAGATATTTTATTAGACGCGGGATAGTATAGATATCCTGCTGGCCAGAAAAAAATCTTTTGTCGTTCTTTGGCAAAATGAGCCTCCTTTTAGCGAATGCATGAGTTTATGCTTTACTTTTTTATTTTGGGAAGCAAAAGAGAATATTTTTTGGGTGTCAGATAGGCTTGCATACGTTGTTGTGAAAATAGCCAGCTTCATGTCCTTTTTAAGTGTGTTTTTTTCTTAGTGTCAGAAAAAATTTCTCAACCAACGACATCCTAAAAACATCAGATGGTTTTTTTTTTCAAAATACTTGCTGATGGTGGTTCGTTTTTTCTACGCATGAATTGCCAAATTTTTAAAGAATAATGATAATTTCTCAAGTTTGCTCAAATTATATTCTCCAAAATTGAAAAGGAGGAAAGAGAGTTTTAAAATGTAACTCATCTCTTCAATTAATTTTTTGCCGATTTTTAGGCAGCATGCTGAGTATGATTTTTAAATTGTTGAATAAGTAAGGGCGTCAAACATTTTAAAACGTGTTCTCAAGAAAGAAATTTTGGACTTTTTGAATTGTTGTGTTCATTTTTCAATTGAGCAACTTCAATGAGATTCACTAGAAGCTTCGTTTTTTGATCGCTTTTAAAGATTTTGACTCTGAAAATTTTTTTTTATTAATTTTCTTTCAAGGCAACTATATACTGAGATGAGAACGTTGAAATCATATGTAGTTCAAGAATAATAATTATTTCTGAATTTTATTCAAATTTTATTTTCCAAAGTTGGAATAGAGGAATGAGAGTTTTAAAATGTAAGAATATTTTGAATTGATTTATAAGATTTTTAGGCAACATACTTTTAATGATTTTCAAATTGTCAAAGTGATGGCGTCGAAATTTTGAAAACGTGGTCTCAAGAAATAAATTTTTGGACTTCGTCAATTTTTTTGTTGATTTTGCGATATGAGCAAACTTGGTTAGATTTGCTAAAAGCTTCGTTTGTTGCTCGATTTTGGAGATTTTGGCTCTGAAAACTGCGTATCCAAATAAATTAATTTCAAGGCAACTATTACTGAGAACACTTTCAAACCAATTCTGGTGAAGCCATATATATTCTGTATATATTTTTATTCTGAAGGATGTTGTTGGTTTGAAGTGATTCGTGGTGTTTTCAACCCAGCCCTTGTGCGTGTATATATATATATATATATATATGTGTGTGTGAGTGTGTGGTGTTGTGCGTTCCTGTGGTTTATTTTTTTTTTCATTTTCCTTATTCGGGGGTTTTTGCAGAAGAACGAAAGCTTTTCGTTGGCATGCTCAGCAAGCAGCAGACTGAGGAAGAGGTCAAGCAGCTTTTCCAATCGTTTGGAGCCATAGAGGAGTGCACTATTCTCAGGGGACCAGACGGCGTGTCGAAAGGTATTTTGCGCGAATATTTTTCTTGTTTATTTTTTATTTTTGCCTGTGAATGCTTCTGTAAATTGGAAATGTTTGTTGGTATTTTTTTTTTGCGCAGGTTGTGCCTTTGTGAAGTACGGCTCGCATTCGGAAGCTCAAGCAGCAATCAACAGCCTTCACGGAAGCCAAACCATGCCTGTGAGTTTCAATACTTATTTTTTTTGGTACTGTACCTATTCACGCGTTAAAAGTTAATTGGTGTGTATCTAGCAATAAATGAGTGAATGTTTTTTGTGAGGAATATCTCAGGACTTTTTTTTCCAAATGTTCTCAAGTTATCCAGCAAGGAAATTTTCTGAATAAACTATTATTTCTCTTGTCCTTCAACCCTTCTTTTCCTGATTACTAAAATTCTCTTGATTAAAGAACTTGCATTTGAGTTGTGAACCTGAGCGGATCTCCGAGCAGAGAAGCTTTTTTGCATATTGTGCAAAATCCTGAGCAGTGAACTCAAATTCCCATCCTTTTAATAAACCATCTTAAAATAGGGCAAAATCGTTCCAGTTGCAGCCCGGCTGCTTGAACGTTGTTTCTTTCATCTCTCCTCATAAAATTCCATAAGCACTGATCTTTTACTCAACAGACCTTGTCAAAGTCAAGAACATCTTTCCAAGCATCTGCTTGATTCAAAGCAATTAATTTGTATCACTCTCTTTTTTTTCGTCTTTGTGAGATTCCTCAAGCACACAGTCTTTTTCTCACAAATAGCCTACTTGAAATACAGTCGCCTGAGTGCACAGTACAACATATATACATTGTCATGGTTTTTTTCAATTTTTTTTTATTATTATTTATTTATTTCCTTGCTTGATTCAAAGCAATTAATTTGTATCACTCTCTTTTTTTTCTTCTTTGTGAGATTCCTCAATCACACAGTCTTTTTCTCACAAATATCCTACTTGAAATACAGTCGTGTGAATTCGCAGAACAACATATAGACATTGTCATGGTTTTTTTTTATTATTATTATTTATTTATTTCCTTGCTTGATTCAAAGCAATTAATATGCATCACTCTCTTTTTTTTCTTCTTTGTGAGATTCCTTAAGCACACAGTCTTTTTCTCACGAATATCCTACTTGAAATACAGTCGCGTGAATGCACAGTACAACATACATTGTCATGGTTTTTTCAATTTTTTATTATTATTTATTTATTTCCTTGCTTGATTCAAAGCAATTAATTTGTATCACTCTCTTTTTTTTTCTTCTTTGTGAGATTCCTCAATCACACAGTCTTTTTCTCACAAATATCCTACTTGAAATACAGTCGTGTGAATTCGCAGAACAACATATAGACATTGTCATGGTTTTTTTATTATTACTATTTATTTATTTCCTTGCTTGATTCAAAGCAATTAATATGCATCACTCTCTTTTTTCCTCTTTGTGAGATTCCTCAAGCACACAGTCTTTTTCTCACGAATATCCTACTTGAAATACAGTCGCGTGAATGCACAGTATACGGTATATATAGACATTGTCGTGATATTTTTTTAGTTTTGTTTTTATTCTTTGTGAGATTCCTCAAGCACACAGTCTTTTTCTCACGAATATCCTACTTGAAATACAGTCGCGTGAATGCACAGTATACGGTATATATAGACATTGTCATGATATTTTTTTAGTTTTGTTTTTATTATTTATGTATTTCCTCTTTTTTTTCGTCCTCAACAGGGAGCGTCTTCAAGTCTGGTGGTGAAGTTTGCGGACACGGAGAAGGAGCGTCAGTTGCGCAGAATGCAGCAGATGGCCGGCAATGTGAACCTGTTGTCGCCGTTTATGTTCAACCAGATCCCGACCGCGTACCCGGCCTATTCCCAGGTCGAAGACGTGAGTTCACGCTTTCCATCAATTCCTCTAAAAAATAAAAGCGCGAAAGTTCAATCCCGAATTTTCAGACTGGAATGTTTCATGATCGACCAATGAGACGGTGGCGAAAATTTAAAAAAAAAAATCTTCTGACTACTGCTGGCACCGAAAGCAACGATTGCCGGGCTGCACATAAAAAGAATTATAAAATGAGAATAAGTTTTAAAATTGTTTTTGAAGATTTAAACAAAATTTGTTTCCTATACATTTCAATATATTTTTGATGCAGTGTGAGAATTTTTGGAATAATTTATCTATCCTTGAGAAAATGTGGGGTATAAAGTTGCTAAAGTTTCTGAGCATTCAAATTTTTTTTTATTTTGGACAAACCAAATAATGCATTGCGCAATTCCCCTGAACTTGAGCAAGACTTTGTTTAAATTGAATAATTATGAAAAGAAGGAAAAAAATATGTTTGAGCTTTTTCTGGCGCTTCGTATCAAAAAAAGGCGGAGGCCCAAAAATTCATCGCTAAAAAGTATTTTCCGTGTTTTGTTTTATTTAAATTTGATAAGGCTGAACTGTGGGATATAAAGCCGCCTATATTGTTTTGACAACTGTTCTGTAGCATTTTTAAAATTGAAATCCAATAGCAGAACTTTAGTAACGTACTGTACTGTACCACTCATTTTGCACATGGGATGAAACTCTCAAAAATGGCTAAACTCAAATTCAGCGTTTTTCCCGGGGTTTCCCCGGTTTTCTGAAATCTTGACCTTCGCTAGTTTTTTTACTTTAAAAATTGACATTCCTGTATTTAGGCTTGTGGGGCTGTGTCATAAGTTGTCAATGAGCTATTTTTTGGACATATTTCCCCTCATTACTTTTCCTTCCTTATCCTTTGATCAATAAAAGACTTTCCAGGTGGTTCATCCCTGTAAAAAAAAATATGAAATCAATAAAAATAGAAAGAACATTTGAAAAAAGGTGCTTTTGATTTTTAAAAATGATATGCAGTATATCCAGAGAAATTTAAATATTTTTTTAATTTGTGTAACAGAAATGGAAATGCCAGGAGAAGGATAAATTAGAATGAGTAGATTCAAGAAGCTCTGAAACCGTCACCCTTGATTATCAAATCAATAACCCATTATTATTATTTTTATTTTAGTAATCTAAAATTGGTACGAATGAGTAATATTTGTAACTTTGATTATTCCTTGTGCTGTGATTCTTAATTTGTACCACAAAGCAACGAAGAAATACAGTATCTGGACAACTAGAAATACCATTAAGGGTGCTCTCATCAATTCTTATTATTTGCAAAATTACTGATTGTCTAAGAATGAATTGCTGATTTATTTAATTAAATTTTTCAATGTTTTTTGTATAGGTCTGTGTGCCTAAAAATGCACTTTAATTTAATTTTGTGTGCACTTTCTCAAAATATTAGGCGTTTATAAGGAACAATTTCCAACCTTTCTAGCAAAAGAAATCCCGTCATTTCATTTTGAGAAATTGGTTTCCCTTGACATCTTGCGCATAAATAGTTGGAGATGAAAAAAAGTTGACAAGTGTGTTGTACATTTTCATCAAACATGGTTTATCATTTAACGTGTCTAATTTTTATATAATTATTGTCAGAGTAAAAAAAAAGATTGATGGTATTCAGATATCAGACACACCTTAGATTTTCCTGCTCTTGAAAATTCTCAGGTTTTCGTATATTTTCCGTGGCATTATTATTTTTTTTTTGCAGAGACCCTGCATTTGCATGTCCTAGATACCTTGTAATATATTCAATTTACGATTTTTATAGCTTGTTATCCCAATATTTCCCTTTTTATCTTTCCTTGAAATCTATTTTCGGGGGTCTTCCAGCCTTTCTTCGTTATTTCCAACATCTTTCAGATGCAACAAAAATGAATTACCAGTCAATTTTCGAAGAGAAGCCTTTTTTTGCTTTCATAGAGTGCTTCTCTAAATTAAAATGCCAGGATTTTTTTTAGCTGTCACAAAAAAGCACCTTTTGTCAACTTTTGCGCAGTATCGCGTTCCAATTTTATGTCACTTTTAAAATGCGGGAATTGGTGGCATAATTATTTCGAGTGAACTGCATAATCGTTTTCACTTATTTCTCAGCAATCATCGCCTCTTTTTTTAATCCGCTAAAAAATAGAACATTGCGTCTCATTCAAAAGAATGAAAGGAAATAGATCGAGTCCGTGTCAGGAAACCGGGATTGAGTCACGATGAGCCAGTTTTGCATTCTCGCATTCCGCACGCAAATTTTCGATCAGGAACGAGATAATTTCTCTCTCTCTCTCTCGCTCTTTTTTCCTGGAAAATCGAGGATCCTTTCCCTCGTTTTTTTAATTTTTTTCTTCATGAGCCACCAGGCGGTTCAATTAAACCGTGGAATTAGCTTTTTAAAAAGCGGGGGAAACCAAGTGGAAAAGTTGCACCGAGGCGGAAAATATTAAACCGCGGATCTTTCGACCCCTCGGGGGGGGGAGGGTTATTGGAAAAGCATTAGCATTTTCTTCATTAATCGCCCCGCTTATCAAAAAAGGCTCTGATCCCGGATCGAGTATTGATTGATTAGTGACAACTTTCGGATCATGAAGTTCTCCTTAAATTTAGGAACGAGGCTGGTTTTTATTTTATTTTTTCAAACTTTCGGTCAGAAGTTGGTTGTCGTTGAGGAGAGAATTCAATTATGCGCTTGAGTTGGATCCCGTGTGAAATGCTGTGCTATATAGAGGGACACCTTTTTTTTTTCTTCTTCTCCAGAGTTGCCAACGGATTCCTTTCCTCCAAGAGGGTTGTTTCACAAGTTTTGAAGAGGAATTTAATTTTTACCGAATAATGTTCGAGTATTTTTGTTCATTTTTCACAATTATGGTCCATTCACGCTGAAGAAAAGGAATTTTACGAAAAAATGGGAAATAAATTTGAAAAAAGGTTGTTTTGCCTGATTTATGAATTTTCAGGCATTTGTTGAAGGGCGAAATGATATATTTTAAGAACTTTAAAATTGTTGGTGAGAAGATTCAAGATCTAACAAATACATTTCTAATGAAGAAAGGTTGCTTTGATGTATAGTCAATTTTTATGGCTGTGGCACGGAATTTGAGAAAAGCCCAAAAATGTAAATGGTGAAAACTAATTTGCTCAAGTATGATTGAATAACATTTTACTGACGAACTACATGAAGTCAAAAGCAATTTAAATCCCCTGACTCCAAATTTTTGAGGTGAAACCTTCTTCGCTCGACCTTTTATTGATGTATTGAAGATGGATTTTAGAACTTACGTAAAAAAAA